CCTTGGTTCGGATCCCACATGAGGGCCAGTGACGCTGCGCCCTCTACAGCTAAGATGGTGAACAACAGCTCGACCTGGAGCTGGGCTGCCATGCGTCACTGGCAATGGCGGCAGTGGGCTGCCTTGAGCTACTGTGAGCTGCCATGAGCTGCCGTGAGCTGCCGTGAGCCGCTGTGAGCCACTGTACAATGGCCAGCAAGCGACTGCCTCACCAGAGAAGAGCACAATGATAACACCAACATGGACCAGTGAAGCCATGTTCTCCACAACTAGACTGAAGAACAAAAGGACAGCAACTTGTCTGTTCCCCTTCCTTTATTCTTCAACACTGTTCCCCTCCCCCAATTCCCCAATAAAATCTTTAAAAAAAATTACAAGAGGGTAAAGGGGGTCAAAAATATGGTAATGGAAGGAGCAATGACTCTGGGTGGTGAACACACAATGTGATATATAGATGATTTATCACAGAATTATACACTTAAAACCTATGTAATTTTATTATCCATTGTCACCAATAAATTTTAATTAATATACATACATATATATTTATTTATTCTTGTGACTATAATAAAAATGTCAGCATGTCAAAAAAAATTCCAAAATAGGCACATTAAACTTGGTTCTTTCTTAAATACTTATTAACTATTTTCTGCCCCCTTCACTCTGAAATTTTTTCTGTTCTCTTCTACCTACTTCACTTCCATTCCATATGGTAATCTCTGTTTTCTATTTCCATGAGATTATATTGAAGCGGAAATTGGAGACACTTCCATCTAGAGCAGCGGTTCTCAACCTTCCTAATGCTGCGACCCCTTAATACAGTTCCTCATGTTGTGGTGACCCCCAACCATACAATTATTTTCGTTGCTAATCTATAACTGTAATTTTGCTACTGTTATGAATTGTAATGTAAATATCTTTTTGTTTTCCAATGGTCTTAGGCAACCCCTGTGAAAGGGTCGTTCGACCCCCAAAAGGGTCACGACCCACAGGTTGAGAACCGCTGATCTAGAGTATATTTTCCATTCCCCTTTGAAACTAAGAAATTCAAAATCGAAAGAGACTGCGAATATAGTTGTTTTGGAGCCAAAACAAAAGTTAGAAAATAAATTTTAACCCCAACAAAGTGGGTTAGAGGTTAAGAGAAACTATGACGGGTTGTTGGAGGGAAAATGAATCCGGTGAATTCAGACTCCAGAAAGACTCATAAATGAAGAAACAGTTGGTCTCTGTATGTTACGTCTGAATGCTGGGAGGTCCCCTTGACACCCTAGTTTCTTCAATTTTGGAGACAAGTAGGTGGTTGGCTGCCTATGGGTAGCTACCCTGCTCAAAGCTAGATTTTCTGTAGGTTCTGCAGAGGTAATTAGAGCTTATACATAAGAAAGTGTGTTTCAGTTGGGGGTCAGACTCATCAACAAGTGGTGATATCACTTCAGTGGGACTTGATCAGCATTTATTACAATAAAATAGAACATACAAGTGCACCTTATGTCATAAGGGTATAAGTATTGTTACGTGAAGTTTGTGTTTCAGGAGTGTGTGTGTATGTATTTGTGTTTGCATATGTATTGAGTACCATGTAAAATGTATTTCTATAATGTGTCTGAGTCAAAACTGTTTAAGTCGCTGGTCCAGGCTATCTGCCTCCATCCATTTGTTTATTAGGTGAGAGGCAGCATAGTACAGTGGAGCCAGAACACCTCTTACTAGCTCCGTGACTTTGGCCAACCTCAGTCTTAACCTCTCTACAGGAAACCTCAGTTTTTCAATCTGTAAAGTGAGGATAATAATAGTACCTACCTTACAGACTTGTTGAGGGTTAAATTAGTTAATATTTATAAAGCGCTTACTTACTACAGTCTGGCACTGTGCTAACAGGATTCAGGACTAAAAAGACGAATAAGAAACACTTCCAGTACCAATGCACTTGTCCATGGCCCCTCATTGTGGGTTTTCCTCCATACCGGAAGGAGGAATTAAAATGTTTTGTTTCCCCCCAGGTCCTCCGTTTCTCAATCTTAACCCGAGCAACAGGATTGAATAAGAACTGAGCCGAGAGCGTCCTCCGGCGGCGAGTCTAAGAGCTTGGGGCCAAGGGCCCGCCAGCTTCGCACTACAACTCCCATCATGCACCTCTTCCCCCCTGGCCTCGAACTAGGAGTGCGATTTGTGGTTTTGCGCTGTTCAACTTCCGCGCCAACCGTCGCAAAAAACGGATAATTATAACTCCCAGTATCAAATCCGGGGTAAGGTGTCGCGGTGCTTTTTGGGTAACGCATAACTCTAATTTTCTTCCGCCAGCCACTGGGAAAAATAGTCCCATGGTCACTTTGTGCCACGGATAAGTAAACTCGTGAAACGCTTTTCTGCCCTAGATATCAGCGGAGACGCTGAAAACTAAAAAAAAGTTGAGAAAAGTGGGTTTCCGTTTTGGGCGTTCATCAACTAAGGATGCTTCCGATGTGAGCGTAGGGATCTCGTGCTATATAAGAGAAGTGGAACGAGCGCACCTTCTCTTTCGATCCTCGCTGCAGAGATGGTGGGTACTGTTTTGTGTGGTGAGCGTGGTTTCCGGGTAGAGGTTGAGACTTGTGGGGCTTTGAGAGCCGGACCGGAGCGTACTTTTAGTTCCGGACCTGGAGAGTTGCAGAGGGACTGGAGATCTGATTGACCCCTTTCTGGGGACTGCCCGTGCGGAATGTAGCTGGAAGGGGCTAAGGCTGGGTAATTGGGCCTATTTCGTTAACAGGAACTTTATTTTCATGCAGACCAAGAAGAGAAGAAATAATGGTCGTGCCAAAAAGGGCCGCGGCCATGTGCAACCCATTCGTTGCACCAACTGCGCCCGATGCGTGCCGAAGGACAAGGCCATTAAGAAGTTCGTCATTCGAAACATAGTAGAGGCCGCAGCCGTTAGGGACATTTCCGAAGCGAGTGTTTTTGACGGTGAGTGAACTCGGAACTCCACGTGTGATTTGTGCAAGTATCCTAATAACCTAACCCTCGCCCCACCCCTGCAGGCTGTGTTTATTGGAGCACCCCGTGCAATTTCTGTGCACTTTTAAGGTTGTTGCCAGTGGAAGAGAAAAAGGTGTCTTTGCTGTGTTAGCCGTTTTAAGCCTGATTTGATTAAAGGCAGATTTTTTTTCTGGTAACGCACAATGTTTGTCATAGTTTGTGACTACTCTTGTTTTAGGGGGCGAGATTCCAAAAGCACTTCTGGAGCAATGACTATAAATATTGGTAAATGTTACAGTCCCATAGAATTGTTGAACATTTATTTGAGCATTTGTGGAAAAGTACAGGCTTAAATTTCGAAGAATGTTTCAAGACGGGGTCTAGTTTGGTGGACAGAAGTGTTTTGGAGCAATATATCATTTTGATCATTTGTTTTTCTTAAGACAAATTGGCTTTCTAGGCAACAAGAAAGGGGGCCAGGAGTTGGCATTAGGGCTGGTGCAACTGCTGAAGGAACTGAACTCTTCATTTATTTAAGATGTGGATTTGGTCCTCTTAGTGACAGGATGAGTTAGTAGGGGGATGCTACTCATTTGTGAAACTGCATATGTGTTTAGGTATCAGAAACTGAACAGTTGGCTTTTGGAGAAAAGTTTTATAGATGTGCCTGACAGGTGTAGGTTTACTTTTTTAAGTAGGTTTACTTTGACTGATAGTATGAACAAGAAAGAACAGTGCAGGGTAGGTATGTAATACCTAATATTATATTTTTTGTTTCTTAGCCTATGTGCTTCCCAAGCTGTATGTGAAACTACATTACTGTGTGAGTTGTGCCATTCACAGCAAGGTAGTCAGGAATCGTTCGCGTGAAGCCCGGAAGGACCGAACACCCCCACCCCGATTTAGACCTGCGG